GGGGCTGAGCTGAGCAATAGCTAAAACTGTTGGTCCATAACACAAAAGTAACAAATTATCTTCTAAGTCCATATTTCTTCTATTTCTCTTAATATTCCCTTCTGTAGGTGCTTTGGTCATCATCAAACTTTGACAGACAAACTATTTTTATTAATATTATCATCAGCAGACTTTGACAGACAAACTAATTTTATTAATATCATCTTCATCAGACACTGACAAACTATTTTTATTAATATCACCATCATCAAACTTTGACAGACAAACTAATTTTATTAATATTATCATAATCAAACTTTGACAGACAAACTAATAATATTTTATTAATATCATCATCATCAGACTTTTGACAGACAAACTAATTTTATAAATATTATCATCATCAAACTTTGACAGACAAACTAGTAATATTTTATTAATATCATCATCATCAAACTTTGACAGACCAACTATTTTTATTAATATAATCATCATCAAACTTTGACAGACAAACTAATTTTATTAATATCACCATCATCAGACTTTGACAGACAAACTAATTTTATCAAGATCATCCTCATCAGACTTTCTCTCCCCCTGTGCCAGAGTATAGGCTACCATCAAGAGCTCTCCAACTACTTCTGTCCTGGGCTATGGTCTCCACCTCTGTCTAGCTGTATTCTATTTTTTTTCGGTTGAAATGAAAGTCGATCCCTCCTCCAAGAACTTCGAGGCCTTCCCTTTTTTCTCTTTCCTTGTGGATTTCACTTTTAACACTTTGCGGTCACTTGGCGGAAAAACGCGAAGATGAAAATTATCCATTCTGACTGCTCCAGGCTCGGGAAGTCTGTTGCTGTCGCTCTCCTGGCTGGGTGACCAGAACGGGTATTTTCTACTGCTGGCTGTGTGACTGCAAAGTGTTAAGGCTTGGAAGGTACTGGGTTTTAGGGGAGTTTTTTAGGGTGTATTATTACAGTTAATCCTGCTGTAATGGCCACCTGTATAAGACAACCACCTGTACAAACAGCCACTTCCCATTTCCCCTCTAGCATTTTTTTAAACATTATAATAACGCTGAGTATGACGGCTACCTGTAAAAGACAACCGCTTTTCTCCCCCCCAAAATATGGGTCCGTCCTATATGACAATTTCGACTACATATCATTATCATTCATACATTATCTCAACTCACATCTGAATCAGAACTCATGTCCAACATGGGAATCCCAAACTCATCGTTGGGTTGTAGAGAAAATGGGGTCAAGTCGGTTCCAGTCCGGTCATCAAATGTGCTCTCCTCCTCCGTGCGGGCCTGGCTCACGGTCTGACGAGACTCTGGCTTCACTGCGACACAGAAACAACAAAAAGAAAAAAAATTGTGAGGCGTGCTGACAAAGTGAGTTACTTCTCGCAATCCACAAAGGGAGACATTAGCCAAAAATTGACACTGAGGTCAGATTTGCAGATTTTCAATTGATACCATTTTTTTCTTAGTCTACCGTGTCTTTTATTAGTCCATACTAGCAAATTGTGCAAACTTTTACCTACAAAGTCGATGTATCAATTTCAATTAGGCTAAAAATCCGAGAAGTAACTCATTTCGTCAGCAGAAATCACAATTATGTTTCTAAATTAATATTTCTACACTCCACCAAACATGTAAACTACTGCTTTTAAAACTAAATGTTTATTATGAATTTTTAGACACTTCAACCATTTCGACTTTGCGAAGTAAAACCATGTCGTGCTGTGAACCGACTTAAAAACAACCTACTTGAATCTCCGATGCTCATATCATATGAACTTATACAGTTGCGAGCCCTGTAAAACTCCAACTTAACTGAAACTGAAACACTCTGGACTTGAATAGAATTTGATAATCGGGATAAGTCCCTCTTCCAAGTACCTTTAGGCTTTCCTTTCTTTCTATTACATTAAAATGGAATTCGCAATAGAAAAAAATGATTACTTCTATTAAATGGGACCTGTAATTTATTTTTTTTTCTTTTGAGGGTTGACTGAGGCAGTTTTTTTCTTGGGGGGGGGTTCTACAATTTTCTAAAAACTCTCAGAGCTTGAAAAAAAGTTGGCATTCAATGTTTACGAAGTTATAAAAATAAGTCTGTATTTTAACCTATAACTTTGCAACTAGGGTTGATTAAGATGTACAACTAAAAATAACCAAAAAAAACAACCCATTTTTGAAAGAGACCTGAAATCTTTTTCTTGTTAAAATCAGGATTAACTGTGTTATAAAGAAAGACATCATTTTGTTACACACTATACTTGAAAAAAATTTGAATATCCGTCTAAATTGTTGCATATTCCTAGATTATTGCTGCGTAGAGTGATTAAAACAAGGATATAAAACAAATAATGTACTTCTGCAACTAAAATGTTTGAATGCCCCCACCGGTTAGTGGGTGCATATAATGTGTGTGTCTGTGTGTGTACATGTGTGTACGCAAGCGCGTGTGCACATGTGTGTACGCAAGCGTGTGTGTGTGTGTGTGTGTGTGTGTAAGTGTTTGTTTGCATATGAATGTGTGTGTGTGTGTGTGTGTGTGTGCACACATTCTGTGCATCCTTATGGACTGCACTCGCGTGGGGTTGAGTATTTGAGTGTGTGTGTGTGACGGTATGTTTTTGTGTTCATTTGTATTGAGAACCCTGTTGTGTGTGCGCGTGCCCGTGTGCACGTATGTGCCTGTGCGAGTGTGTTTGTGTGCATGTGTGTTTGTGGGCATGTGTATTTGTTTGTTTGTGTGCATGTGTGTGAGTTCACGTCAATTTGATCGCAGGAACGTCTGAGGGGAGAGGTTATTCATATGCGACATCATTGTGCCTCAGCCACCGTGTGTGTGCATATGTGTGTCTGTGTCTGTGTGTGTAAATGTGTCTGTGTCTGTGTGCATGTCTGTGTGTGTACCTGTGCGCTTGTGTGTGTATATATGTGTGTGTATGTGTGTCTGTGTATGTGTCTGCGTGTGTGTGTATGTGTGTCTGTGTGTGGGTCTATGTGTGTGTGTATATGTATGTCTGTGTATGTATGTGTGTCTACGTGTGTGTGTGTATGTGTGTGCATGGGAGGGTAGACTTATGTTGAGATGAGTAGGCCTACCATGTTGCCCTAAATAAGTACTCACAATTTTTCTTGAAAAATTAAAATGAAGACAATTTTGACAAAATATAACCATATTAATGGTAATAAGCAGAATGAAGCCAAGTTCAAATGGCATATAAATAAACAGAAAAATGTCAGCAACTACTATAAGTTCACATGTATATGTTGAATGTTACGCATAATATTTTTTTAAAAACCCAAAACTGAAGTACTCTATGGGGTTTTTTATTTCTTGACGAGAAAAATTAGTATCATATTAGTACTTGTTTCACCATTATAATATGATTTCACGATTAGTATTTATATGAACATTTTATGGATTATGATTTTGTAACAGAGAAAAAAATAATGAGCAATGTTGAGGGATGGGGGCTTTCTGAGAGCAAGTTAAAAAAACAAAAAAACAACAACAACATACACACATAATATGCTGCATGGTAAAAACGCAATTTTCTCAAAGATAAAAACCTTCTAGCAAAGGAACCAAACTGATTACATCTGACTCTTGAGAGGGACAAACATTTTGGACAAATTTGCTAGCAAAAGAATCAAACTAATCTGAAAAAGAAATTAAGTGCACAGGGGAAAAACACTTTAGTCACAGACTGGAAATTGTGAGGGTGCCAATTTTAAAAGCTTGTGGACTCATAATTTCATATTTGTTTGACTGGTGGTTTATTGTTAAGTGCTGTTGAATGGGAAATCTAACAACAATAATCAACCAACAGTTGAACAGAAAAACAGTTATCAGTCAACAAGCGTTCAAAATCGGTACCCTCACGATTTTCCATTTCTGACTACAGTCGTTTTCCCCCCGTAGTCTTCAAATATTTTTTTAAGTGAAAGAGTATTCATGAACTGCAGTGGAGTCTGCTAAAACCAACCGTGGTTAATTCAAAAACAGCAGTAAACCGAAAGATACTAAAAATCTCTGATTTTGATTTTTTCTATTTGAGCAACTTCTGAAAATTGCAATCTGGTTTAACTGAACAAAATCTGACTGTCCCGCAAGTTTCATTTTTAATGGACTCTGCTGTATAGTTCACCATAGACAGACTCAAATGAGCGACACCTTAAAGGCCTCAGTATTTGGATTCCACAAGGAAAATGAAAGAAGGGAAGACCAAAGAAGACATGGAGACGAGCGGTACAAGCTGAAATTGAAAAAGCGGGGACATCATGGAAACAGATAGAAAAGGATGCTCAGGACAGGCTTCCCTGGAGTAATGCTGTTGATGGCCTGCGCTCCACTGGGAGTTAAAAAGGGCAAGAGAGATTTGGATTCAACAAATCAACTTGGTTTTAAAACTTGCCGGTGACTAAAGAGTGCAATGTTCAGTTTAAATCTTCAAACGTTTTTTTTTTTAAATGCTGTCGCCCAAACAATAAAACATAATTATACTATGAAAAGATGCGGTGACGGAGCAGTTGGTGTCCACCCACCAGTAATGGGTACCTCACACCTGACTTTGTGTTGGGAAAGTAAAGGCGGCATGTAATAAAAAAGGAACTGGCCACCCTACCACAATATGCCGAAGGCCCAGGAACTTGTCTCACTAACAGGGCAATCCCCAAAGTGCGGATTGGATGCGGGAACAACTTTAACTTTTATAATATGAAATAAAGAAATTAGTTATGCCGCTTGATCATGACTCAAGGAGGAATAGGCAAAATTTCTTTTCTGATGGAAAAAGTTTCTGCTAGAAACAGTTGGCTCTTGTTGCTCTCAGTCAATGTTTCTTTAATTTAATTTCTCAGAGTTTTTGTGCGGACAGTGGGGTCAAGATGGAAAGAAAAACATCCTTCTGTCAATAAAAAGCAGCAATGTAGTGGTGTAATGAACTGAACAATTTTTTTAAAATTTTAAAATCACACAATACAGACAAGCAGACAAACAAAATTAAGCGATATGATGATTTCAAATTGAAAAGATTTTAAAGCAAATTTCAAAAAGGAGAAGCATATCTTGAAGCTGAAAAACAATATGCAGAGTGAGAATCTTAATAATA